TTAAGATAAAAAAAAGGGAAAAAAAAAAAAAAAAACCAAAATTTTTTGAACCCCCTTATGATTCATCACCCCCAAACTCAATCCCAGCCTTCCCTTTGTGGTATGGTACCTTGCAGTACAATTTCAGAGAGATCCATACACTTGAACACAAGTTATTGTCTGGAAACTAGAAAAATGTGTTTTTTGGCCCCTTTTTGGCCCCAAATTCCTAAACGTTTAGGGCAATTACCCCCAAATTCAAACCCAGCTTTCCCTTTGTGATATGGAACCTTGTAGTACAATTTCAGAAAGATCCATACACTTACACACAAGTTATTGTCCTGAAACTAGAAAAATGCTTGTTTTTGGCCCCTTTTTGGCCCCTAATTCCTAAAATATTGAGGCAATTACCCCCATCATCAATCCCAGCCTTCCCTTTGTGGTATGGTACCTTGCAGTACAATTTCAGAGAGATCCATACACTTGAACACAAGTTATTGTCTGGAAACTAGAAAAATGCTTATTTTTGGCCCCTTTTTGGCCCCCAATTCCTAAACGTTTCGGCAATTACCCCCAAACTCAATTCCAGCTTTCCCTTTGTGATATGGAACCTTGTAGTACAATTTCAGAAAGATCCATACACTTACACACAAGTTATTGTCATGAACCTAGAAAAATGCTTGTCTTTTGGCCCTTTTTTGGCCCCTTATTCCTACAATTTTGAGGCAATTACCCCCAAAATCAATCCCAGCATTCCCTTTGTGATATGGAACCTTGTGGTACAATGTCAGAGAGATCCATACACTAACACACAAGTTATGTCTGGAAGTTACAAAAATGCTTACTTTTGGCCCCTTTTTCCTTTACTGTTGGTACCATAACCCCCAAAATCAATCCCAACCTTCCTTTTGTGGTATTGAACCTTGTGGAAAAATTTCATAGAGATCCATTCACTTAAACTAAAGTTAGAGTGCGAAAACCAATGTGTCTTCGGACGACGACGACGCCGCCAACGTCATACCAATATATGACCACAAAATTTTTTTTGCGGTCGTATAAAAAGTATGGTATTCAAACATGAATATAAGTCTTTAATCATTTTAGAGTAAAAATTAGAAAATTTACCAAATAGAATTAAGAATTGCTCACAGGGACAATGTTTTTTTCTCAAATGACAGAAGCAAAAAAAATATTTTGTTCATAAAAGGCCTATCAAACATTATTCCATATCAGTATGGAAAATAAATCTTTGAAGAGTGCCTCTTGATCATCCTTCTCATGATGTGTAAAATAATCTGGTCTTGCAGCTTTAATATAACATTATCTACATAGTTTTGTGTGTGCTTATTTTTTTTGTTCTGTATGCAGTTAGAGTAAAGTATGGATAAAAGGGATGTGAGGAACAATTCAATGAGACGACAACCCCACAACAATTGACATATAGTATAGACACCTGTCTACTGTTTAATACTTTAAGTTGAAGTCTTGTGGTGATTGGTATCATTGGGTTGCTGCCTCAATGATGTCTACCTATACATATTTTATTCCTTATAAGAGTAATTGGCCAACTTGCTTATTTCATGCAAGTTGATTTCAGAGTTCTCACTTGTACATTGAGACTGGGCATGGTTTCCGAGCATATGCTTTATATTTCACCGAAAGATTGCCTGAGATATCAGGACATGTGTGAAGCATTATGAATAACCAAAATGCTTAATGGAGATATAATCTGGACATTACTTTTAATTTAAAAACTAATGTAAATAAAAACAATCTTTATAGTGAATCAGTTTCAAAAATAGAAAAACAAATCTATTAAAAATATTATAATTTAATGCAATGTTAATGCAGATTTTATGATGTTTACTTAGCTTAGACTGACAAAGTATGGGATGATTATTAAAAGGTTCCAAAAGGTTAATATTGATTTAAGTTATAAATGTAAAACTAGTATGCCCTAGTCCTCAGAGAAAAATGTTTTAATACAACTCACATAGTACATCATTACCCTGAAAATATTCAACATTAGTGTCAATTATTGGATGAATCATGCACTGGTACCTTGTAAAATTTCATCCATACACAGAACTGCTTATAAAGAAACAAATGGGAGGGAAAAATATCACCCTATCTACAAAAAAAACCAAAAGGAACAAATTTGCTAAATCATGGTAAACGTGAGGCTCAAACTGAAGGAGAAGTTTAGATTGTACAGGTTGTTCTAACATTAGCAAATAAACTTACAGCATAAACCTTTTTTGTGTTTATTTACAAATGCATTTTGTATGCACTTTTGAAAATTAAGTTCTCCCAACAATAGAAATTTCTAGAATTTGACATCATTAATATTCATACTAGGTACATAGATGTTGAGTCATCAAATTTCACTTATGCATCCAAATACTTTAGTATATCCTGTTTATCAATTAACAAATTCAGGGTTTTTCCAATACATAACGTTAGAAGTGTTGTCTCCCTTTACATTGATCCAGTTTTCTAAATATCATACTCTGGATTCATTATTATTCGTTGGATACCAATTTCCATGCATTTCGTAGGTACAAGTGTAACACGAATTAAAATGTTCAACGAATTGCTAATTTTTTATAGGGTTGTATGCAGATTTGGGCAAAACCACGAAATCAAAAATTAAACGAAAATGCAGGTTTTCCTCAGTCCATGAAAATAAATAAATCCACAGTAGATTGGTGGAAACATTAAATTCCATGGTATCTATAAATGTCTTTGATAAACACTAACGATGGTTGTTTGAATCATGAGACAATTTCATAAACTGGTAAATTCATTTAAACTGAAACTGAAAAAAAAAAATGACTTGGCTATATTCATCAATATTTATTTAAAGATACTAGTTGTATTTCATACCAGCACTTGCCCAGGTTACTTTCTAGTTCTAATATATATAATTCTGCCTCAATTGTAAGAAGTTTTTATAAATGCTGTATGCATAAAAAAAAGAAGAAGAAAGGACAAAGTCTATTAAAGTCTTTGGTATGATGCAGGAAAGAATCAAACCAACAAAGCTCCTGCACTTAAGCAAGAAGACTACCAGAAAGAACTTAGGTTGTATACATAGGCTCCAAGTGGTGATAATTCATTGATATACAATTAATGATTTCTAGGATGTGAACGAACACAGAACTTAATCATTGTATTGGATTATTCAGACAAGGGTAAATCTGTAGACACAGACAGTAGTGGTAAGTTTAAAACTGGATAAAAAGCTGAAAAATAAAATTTATTCATACTTCATTAGAAAACTGAGATTTTGACCTTTCCATTAAAATTTGTGCAAACTAAATTTTGCACCTTTTTTGGTCCTTCTCTTTCAAAACTTGGGAGATTTCAACAATTCTCACTCCTTGTTTTGTAATACTGAAACTATGTTAATATCATTTAATGAGAAAGAGCCAGATAAAATATACTATAAGGTAAGGCTATGAACCTTTGTTAGATGCCAATTCCATCATTTCAGATTGCAAATGATAGTCATAAAATTTTGGAGAACACTTAGCATACTCACACTCAGAAATCAATCAATCAACATACTTGATTTGATGTTTTGAGCACAAATTTTGTACTTTGACTACTGACTAAAGTTTGATGACTGAAAATCCAGAAGATTTATGAATTTGGAAAATGTTGATGCAAAAAAGTGATTTATTTGTGGACTTTCCATTAAAATTTACGAAGTCTATATGATTCTTATGGTATTATTTTACTTGACAAATACTGAAAGCTTTTCTATTCAAATTATTTCTATTTTATTTTAGTGAAATAGAAGGTACTATAAATTTGTCTTTTTCTGTAACAAGAAACAGTGACCTTTTTTCTATTTATTTTCTGTAACAAGAAACAGTGACCTTTTTTCTATTTATTTTCTGTAACAAGAAACAGTGACCTTTTTTCTATTTATTTTCTGAAAGCGTTTTATTTTATCATTTAGTTTTCTTTCTAGCCGATATAAAAGTGTGTTTTATTCATGTTAATCCTAACAAAACATAACATTTTGCACATCCTGTAGCTTGAAAACAAGCTCAGTGGTTTATAGTTTATTATAATTCTATTGAGAACAGCACAGTATAAACTACATTTTGGCAAAGTGTATATACAAATTCTTTATCTTTTTGTTGATTCTCCCTCCCAACATTAAGGTGAAAGAAATGAGTAAATGAATAGATAAATAAATAATAATACAAACATAATGCCTTCTAAATAACACCAGATAAATAGATAATTTGTATGGTGGACAGTGTTCTACTAATATAATGCATGCTTGTAAAGTAGCAGCAACTAAAAGTAATAATTCATTCTACTCTCGAAGCATAAAATGTAGGCCATGGCGATCCAAATGATACTAAACTTTCTTTTAATGAAAACCTTCAATAACTATATTTTTGGCTGAATACAGCTTCTGATATTTACTTCTATGTCCTTTTGGTTAAAGCCTTGGCTCATATCTTAGTAACAAGATCTCAAATTGAGGCTATTTCTTTTAAAATCAACAATTACTGTCATAAATGTTGTAACTTCGAATTCAAAATAGTAGATTGTACATAGTGCAAGTTGTTTATTTTAAAAACTGGAAGCTGAATACAATGCCATGTATCTTATGGATTTTGTTTCCCTAAAAATATGCAAGACTTACTATTACTGGTCCATTACCTGAATTATTATAATGAGCAATTTAAGTGTCATTTTCATTGGATTCCGTTAAATATCAATATCAAGATGGGAAAATTCTAAGCTTGAAAATCCGAGAATTAAAAGGGAAAAATATCTCAAATAATTTGATTTATCATAATTCTTTAGTACAAGTACCTTTTGGTCTAGTTATAACAGTTATGTAATAGCTGAACATATTTATAATACATAAAATTGTGACCTTTAGCAAGTGTTAAAACTCATATTTGGCACATGTAAACAATACATTACCTTTTTTAAAAGGTTTCATTTTAAATATAATTTTACACATTTTAAAATGACAATAAACTAATAAAATATGTTTACTTTTATTATTTATACAGAATCCACTGAAAGCCTTAAAATTGTGTGAAAGTTCCAAGTTAACTAAGCACATAATGAATACATTTCTCCATGTAAATGGTTGAAGATTGTATGAACACAACATGTATTTTGAGTTATAACACTTCCTCATATAAATCAATAATCATATTCACTTTTGACACATTTAGATGAAGTTTTTCTTATAAAACAAAAAATAATTAAACTGATTTATTTACAACCTTTTGTCTACAGGAATAATTACCCTGCACATAATAAAAGCTAATTTTCAAACTTCCCCATTTAAATTAACATTCCTCCTTTCGAGCGCCACTGATGAGTCTTATGTACACAAACACATCTCTAACGTACCAAATTATAAATGTAGTATCTTTAATGGGTTTTTAAAATAGAAACTATACAAATAGTCAATTCTACACGATATCATCTTCGTAAAAATTATTATTGAACTAAAAATTGCTATAAAACACAGTTTGATTCAATGTAAGTGTTTTCACATTCTCAAAAGAACTTTTAATTTGAACTCTTATTCATATAGGTCTATTTGTTAACACTTCATCTCCTCACATACACCTATCAGAGGCACAGAATTGTCCATATTACAGTTTTCAATGCTTGATAATTTATCTTCCATAATAAGACTACTTCAACAACAAATTTAATCCTATGTATGTAACTTAAAGATAAATGTAGATTTAGAAACAAAACAAAAGGCCTAATTTTAATATAAATGTATTAACTTGGAACTTTCTCACTCAATATCACATTTGACTTATCGTCATGGAAGAATACACTTATTCTGGTCCATAAACCACATAACATAAACAATATACATTTAAAACAATAACAAATAACTATGATACGGCACATTCACTAGGTTTCTCTTCCTTTGTTTTCTCCACATCTTTTTCTGGTGAATCTTTGTCTAAAGTCCGTATATCTTGTGGTACAGGTGACAACTGTTCCTCACTAATGGGTGAAGGATCAATTGGCTCAAGATGTAATGTCGGTGGAGTTTGTTCTACTAGTTTTGATAACACTTGAATTTGTCCTCTAATGGCATGAAAAAATGGCTTGTATCCAACACTGAAAAATGGAAATATCTCAATTGGGAAAAGATTCATTTAGCAATCATCTACAATCTTAAGTAAAATATTACGCTTAATACAATATAAACTACTTTCTTGATAATTTGATAAAATTTATAAAATAAGTAGAAATGTAAGATAATTTGTTTTGTTCTGAAGAGTGACAATGGATGGCAGTTAAATGTCCAGTGGCAAATTTAATGTATATTCAAGCTGAGAACATCTTAATGCAGTAAGAATGTGAACCTTGCTGAGTACTAGGCGGACACGCTGAACCAGATTTTTTAACATGCTACTTCTCAAGGTAACAGTCAGCAGGAATGTCACCCTTCTGGACACATTATCCTCACACCAAGCTGACCAGCCTTTGCTGTTACTCCTTAATTCCGAGTGCTTAGTAGAGAAGCAGAAAAATATCAATTTTAAAGTGTTTGGTTTGACAGAGCGGGGGTTCAAACCCACAACCTCCCATACTCAAGGAGAGCATACTAACATGATATCACTGAAGCTCTGCTAGGAATGTAGGAATACAACAGAAAAGTTTGACATTCAAATAAGGATTAATTTATATCGATATTTATTTTAGTTAGAAGGAATAACCAGTTTGATCATATAACACTTATGCCTTCTGAATGTTAAGTGTTAAGTCCAGACATTCTATAAAATTGTACAAAATGTTTTCCAATACTAATGTGATCCCTTACCATTCTGTGTCTGACCACAACTCTAGATATGAAAGTCCCTCTCTCATTCTTCCTACTATCTCTAAAGGCGTGTCTGTCATACTGGCAGTATTTACTGTCCTAACAACAGCTAAAGCATCTCGTATCACAATAGATACTAACAGACCCCATTCTAAACAACCTGCTTCTAACATGATCTGTAGCAAATATCTGAAAAGTAAACAATACCATACATGGAATTAATCCTAGACAATATCTTTATAACGAAGGATAAAAAAATGTTTAGAAATACTACATTCCTGTTTATATTGTATGCATTTTAAACTCTGCCACTCAAACATAAAAAAATAGGCTTTTGTTTTTTTGCAATGTTGGGTTGCTGTTAATTCATATAACTGAGGTATTCACATTCCATTTCTTTTATCTGCATTTGTAAAGAAACTAAAATTGTTTGTTTTTTAAATGGCATCATTATTCTTGAAAGGTTTCAGTGCTCTATTGCCTTCAAACTTATGAAGCTGCTATATTGTCTTACCTGAGTTCCAGCTCAGACTGATGTGGTCCCTTGTTAGCTATTTCTTGTGATAAAAGTTCTAACTCAGGAGAAAGAGATTCTGATTGTGAGCTGTTTTCTATCATGTAGTCAAATTCTCCTAACAATGAACTGTTATCTGATATTTCCATTGTGGCTAAACTACTTTCTTCAGCTGAAACAATTTCACAATTAATTCAAAAATACTGATTAAAGTGATTTAATGTAGACATAAAAGTCAAAATACACAAGATGTTTTCTGAGTCCAAGTATATACATGTAATTTGATAATTTTGATGAAAAAATGACATCATGAGCTAAAACAATCTTGAAAAATATTATTATGTGTAAAATTAGATATATGTATTATAATTTTTCTGTAAAAACAAAACTGTAATAAGAGTGTGAATATTCATGGATTATCAGAGCCATTATAAACCCTTTATGAACCTTTTCCTTTATATGTTCATGTAAAATAAGGTGCTGGTAGTAAGCTGCTGTTTTACTACTGATAAGAATTTATAGCTTTTTTTCAGAGAGCATGCTACTGAAGTAAAATGTTCAATTCCAACTTCTAAGTTTATGCAAAATTTCTGAACAAAATTATCAAAGAAGATATACATTAAAATACCACCATACCATCTGCAGCACAAAGGCCATTTAAAATATTTAAATGGAATCTTCAGCATATGAATATAGGGTATCAATTTAAAGATTATTATCAAAATTTCAAGATTTCTCTTGTGCATGTTTTTAACACAAAGAAGTATACCACTATATGAACAATGATAAACCATTATTGTTCGCTGGGCTTCAATCAGTGGTTGTCGTTTGTTGATGTGGTTCATAAGTGTTTCTCGTTTCTCATTTTTTATATAGATTAGACCGTTGGTTTTCCTGTTTGAATGGTTTTACACTAGTCACTTTTGGGGCCCTTTATGGCTTGCTGTTCAGTGTGAGCCAAGGCTCCATGTTGAAGGCCGTACTTTGACCTATAACGGTTTACTTTTACAAATTGTGACTTGGATGGAGAGTTGTCTCATTGGCACTCATACCACATCTTCTTATATCTAAGTAATACAACTAAAACACTTACTTCTAGACACCTGTGGCTTTAGGAATATATCATCAGTGAGTGATTGTATAACACTATATGTACAAGTAATAAGACTCAAACACTTACTTTTAGACACCTGTGGCTTAAGGAATATATCATCAGTGAGTGATTGTATACCATTGTATGTACAAGTAATAAGACTTAAACACTTACTTCTAGACACCTGTGGCTTAAGGAATATATCATCAGTGAGTGATTGTATACCATTATATGTACAAGTAATAAGACTTAAACACTTACTTCTAGACACCTGTGGCTTAAGTAATATATCATCAGTGAGTGATTGTATACCATTATATGTACAAGTAATAAGACTTAAACACTTACTTCTAGACACCTGTGGCTTAAGGAATATATCATCAGTGAGTGATTGTATACCATTATCTGTACAAGTAATAAGACTTAAACACTTACTTCTAGACACCTGTGGCTTAAGGAATATATCATCAGTGAGTGATTGTATACCATTATATGTACAAGTAATAAGACTTAAACACTTACTTCTAGACACCTGTGGCTTAAGGAATATATCATCAGTGAGTGATTGTATACCCTTATCTGTACAAGTAATAAGACTTAAACACTTACTTCTAGACACCTGTGGCTTAAGGAATATATCATCAGTGAGTGATTGTATACCCTTATCTGTACAAGTAATAAGACTTAAACACTTACTTCTAGACACCTGTGGCTTAAGGAATATATCATCAGTGAGTGATTGTATACCATTATCTGTACAAGTAATAAGACTTAAACACTTACTTCTAGACACCTGTGGCTTAAGGAATATATCATCAGTGAGTGATTGTATACCATTATATGTACAAGTAATAAAAATTAAACACTTACTTCTAGGCACCTGTGGCTTAAGGAATATATCATCAGTGAGTGATTGTATACCATTATATGTACAAGTAATAAAACTTAAACACTTACTTCTAGACACCTGTGGCTTAAGGAATATATCATCAGTGAGTGATTGTGACATGTTAGGATCACTCATTTGAGATTTTAACCTGCCAGGATGTGAACTTTGTTCATTTTCCATCGTCTTTGTGGAGTCTACTATATCATCATCTAAAAGTGACAAAGATCCTAAACTAGATGTCGAAACTGAAAAGTAAATTAAAGTACATTTCATTTTTTATTAAATCACAACCATATTGATAAAGTAAAAGCATTCTTTCAGAATACTGTTATTCATATTAGTAGAGGATATAAGACAAGTATGATACAAAATGTATCTGGGCATTATAACAATATAAAGCACAGTCTTAATCAAAACTATTTGACATATTGGTTCATATGAACTAACATCCTATTTCATTTTTTCATGATCAAGGTAAGTAATTTTACTTAGTAAATGTGTATATCAAAATTACAAATCAAAGTAAAAGATCAAATTTCAATTTATTTGATACCAAAATTAATGTTTTCCATATATATTTCAAATATATATAAAACAGCAGACAATATTTGATGAATACATGTACACATGAAATTAAGCTTACAATTCTTAAATTTCATTTGTTGAAACTGAGCATATGATAAGACAGGTAATGGCCACTGGAACTGATGATGTAGGTCTCGTAATGCTGTGACAAAGTCTTCAACTTTTCCACCTTTTAATCTGAAATGGAAATTGAATGCCTTTTAGAGCATGGTAATGGAAAATTATAGATTGGTGTGAAACTTGATGGTTAAAGTCATTACTGCCCGAACATCATTACAACCATTACCCAACATGTGTTTTTCTTGTTCAAACTTTATCTTTAGCTGGCACTGTTTAAATAATTGTTACATATTGAAATCAATGTATGTAGAATTTTTAATTTTTGTTTTTCTGTATATACATCATGACATGACTTGTATCCCAAAATACTATACTTAAGACCTTTTTTTTCTATACATTATTCTGTTAATCAATTCATAAAGTGTAATTTTTTCTACAAAATTTGCAAATTTGGACACATATTTATTAATTTTGAGCACATGCAAGTACCAAAAAAATATTCAATAGATTCAATAGCTAATTTACATGGCTGTAATCCTTATTAGAAATATATAAACATTATGGACAACAACACAGTTTATATTCACAATAAGACACTTTGCACTAACCCATTACTAAGTTACCTTTCCTGTTTTAGCCACGTAACAAAATGAAAGCCCTCCACATTACCAGCAAAGAATCCTAAATCCCTTAATCGATTTTCTTCTAGAAGTTTTCTAGCATGTCGACATAATAAAGTATCAATAAACATCTGATCTGATGGTTGTTCCTCTTTGTTTTTTGATGACTGTCGTATACTGTAAAAAGAAAAACATGAAACAAGTGATTACATATCCCATAATGACTTCTACAGTAAACCAAGCCTTATTTTTGTACTTCCAGGAAATAAATTTCACATAAATATTGTAGAACAGAAATAGATTTCTACATTCATCATAACTACTTTCTGATTCAGTTTTTAATGATTTCATTTCTGATTATATACCAGAAGCTTAACCTAATTTCAAAATGTTATTTTCTTATTCTTCTTACGAGTTTTTCCATTTCAAGATATCTTGGAAAGATGATGATAGTCCTGTAACTGCCTCTGCTTTATGGACATTTCAATACTGGAGATTTACTTCTGGAATTGTATTATTAAAATAAAAAATGGATAATACAACACTCAAGTAACTAGTGAAGACCTACAAACAATATTCAGTGGCAGCACAAGCATTTTTCTCAAGTACAAATCAAAGTCATTTTTTGGCACGCTAAAGCTTATCATGTGGTAACACAACGTTGGTATTCCAGCCTAAAAAAGAGACTCTAGAAAATTCCTGATGGTGTAAGAGGCCGAAATATACCAGCATATTTGTAATGTTGACGCAATCTGTAATTATGATATCTTATTCTTATGACTCTTTCTTTTAAAATTCTAAATTCTATTAGGGTTATGCTAATGAAATGAATGTTAGAGTTAGGGACTCGGATGTTTCATTTTTTGGACATGGACTGTGGGTCATTTAAGGTTATATATCCATTGGATGTTTGCCAAATTACTCAACATTAGTATGCTGTTGTTCCTATCCTCCCCCATCCATTTTAATGGAATAGTCCAATAATTAATTACCTTCTAAACAATGGATTATCTGACTTGGTATGTTTCAGTTTTTCTTTGCCTTTAGGAACATTCTGTACTTCAGATCCTGTCACGCTAGAACTTCGAACTCTATTCAAATTACTGACATTACTAACACTACTAAAGCTAAAGCCATCTGTATCAGGAGGTGTGATTGGTGGGCTAGAGTAACTTGAGGGGTAAGAGGAGCCACTGTTTACACGACTTAAAGAACTAGATAGCTGGTAGGACTCAACTTCAGCTGGATCTGAAATACACATAAATAATAAACTTAATCATATAAAGATACACAAATTTTCTTTTTATGGAATCTAAGCCTTACGCTGACTATTACAAGATTAAATCAATTAAATTGTATATGAAGTATTCATTTAGTATTTTTACATACATTTAAAAGATTCATTTCACATTTAATTTTATCAAACAACCTTTTTTTAATTTATTTATCAAACTGAAAATGTAAAACATAAGTGCGTTTTAATAGGACAATCGTCATTATCAAAGTTTTCAACTCTCATTTAATTGAAATAGTACTAGAATAGTACTTTTAAAAGTGTACAAACAAGTAATAGAATTTTAATTTAAGTGCACTAGAATGGTATACAAATACAACAAATGTTCTACCTTACCTATAGCTTTAAGGAATCTGATAATATCTCTGGCCAGCTCCCATTTACCATTTTCTAATGAAGAATCCAGTAATAGTGTGGCATGCTGAAAAGTTAAAGCATTATGAAATATTTGTACAAATTATGAATCAAATATAGAGGTATATCAACAATATAATGGACTGAGTCATATCAAAATAACATTTACAGGAGGAATATTTTCTTATAATAACCTATAGTGTGTTTTCTCTATAATGTTTAACAATACACCTCTCAACTGCTGTGGTACATTTATATAAAGTGCCAACTTGACAACTGATTTTGGAATAAATATAAGAGTACACATGCACACCCGTCTGTTCAATCAGATATACAGACAGTCAATCACTGCAATTGGATAACAAGAATAGTTTCTATCAACCTGAACTTTTTCTCATATAGATCAATCTAGAGTATATGAGGCTGCTAACTTTTGGGGAGAAAAATATACTTATAATCTGAGATTTATGGTACATTTATATCTATTTACATTCAAATGTGATAAATGTTACAATCTAAATGCTCAATACAGCTATAATTTTAATAAAACTTTCGATGGAAGTTTATTTTACATTTAACCATTAATTGATAGGACTGAACAGACTTATGTTGATCGTAAGAGTCAGAAAGGCATAGCAGATTTTAAATGCTTTTCTTTGGGTGTATTATATCAATATGGAAAATTCTTCCTTTCTCATTCCAAAACAGAAATTCTAAACTAATTGTTTCTAACGCACAGGGCCTAAATCTTGGTCAATTCTTAGGACTGTGGTCACTTTCCCTTTAAATTACTTAAAATGCAAATGTATTTATGTCTGCATTTCCAAGTTATTGCACTGATGATTTTCTAATGTTGTAGGACTAAAATATCATTTAGTAGGAAATACCATTCTTAAAATCTGCATTTTAGTTTCAGTGAAAAAGAATTTGTGTATTCTGTACAAAATTGAGGAATGTGTGAAGTATTTTCAGTGAACTAACCTGTTTACTTATAATTGGTCTTTCTAAGTTTTGTAATATTATAAGATAAGAAGCTGCAGTCTCTAACTGGTTATCTACTAAGCATACCTGTAATTATAAAATATTTCAAATATACATATATGGTAAACATGAAAATTTTATAATGATAGACATTTGGTTAAATTAACAGACATAACAAAACAGAATGTAAAGGACTGGTCAGAATTGAAGTGATGAACGACAAAATGCCAAATTTTAGTATACTGGGTCATTATGATTGGACAAGGTGATATAAGGATAAGTTTGTACATTACTTCAAAGCAGTATAAAAGCAGGCCATTTTCATATTCAATTCAGTAAGTCTATAAACAGTCAAACATAATTATAGTGAACTATAAACTGTTACCAAAGGCAGGACCTAAACTTCAAACCTGGGTAATATCTATATCTGTAGCCAACAACTTAACTAACTTAAGTATCTGATCTGTATCATATTGTATATAAGCGTTATACTGACTGATTCAAATAACATTTGTTTATTGTAACCTCTAATCTTATGCCTCTTTAGACTTTTGCAATTCTGGGTGAAAAGTCTGTTTTTATTTTACAGTTAAATATGATTAAGATCAGATCACATTTTGACAAAACAACACAACATATTTTTGAATTTATTCTCTGTTAGGTTGGAGTTGAACAGCTTTCTATGTTGTCGGTCAAATCTAATCAGAAAAATCATCTATTATTTACCTGTAACTGGTTGAAGTATTATCCCCTAACTTAATAGTTCACAGGGTTATCTCCCCTAACTTGATAATTCACAGGGTTATCTCCCCTAACTTGATAGTTCAGAGGGTTATGATACTATTTTGAAAACCAACACCAAGATGATAACAGCCAATTTCGTCTTCAAAATAATTCTTAAATTGTATTTCTACCAGACAACAGATGTGATTAACAAAAGTACACACATAAGCCCTTTGGTCAAGTGAGATTTACGTATGTGTTTTTGTGAAAATAAAAAATGATGTTAAAGAATATCTTAAAAGTCCACTTACTTCAAACAGATCTTTTGGATTACCAACTGTGGAGAAAAGATAAGGCCATAATGCAACTTCTGTTTTCCTTGCACAATGTACAACTGTTTGTAGATATTCTGGGAACTCTTGTATAAATGCTACAACACGTGGCAGTAATGGATCTGTAAAATAAGAAAAGAGCTGTTTAAATGTTCATCTGTCCTTCTATATGAAACAGATAAACTTAAGGCTTGGCAAGGCTACTTCAATAAAATATTTATGCAAATACACCATATCTGATCACAAAAATGATGTCTAGGACTTGCTGGATGTATACATATATTATCTTTGAATATTGTTTTTATTGACTTAATATTGATTTTGTTATCTGTAAATTAAAAGCAAACTAAATATTATTGTTATATACATATGCACTTTCATGGATCTACAATCTGTCAACTCCTGTATCTTGGCATTGCACAAGGTCACGTTTTTCTCTGACTGTTTATGACGTCTTTACACTAAATCCATTGGATGTTGGATGTGTACTGATTGATAATTTAGTCTTAAATGTATGATTTTTTATATTAGTTGTTATTGGCTTTGAACTAGCTGTCAGTAACTGCCAGTACTCTCAGATCTGTACTTAGTGTCTTTTTGTTGTGGGGATGTATAAGTACCCGGTCACATCCACATGTTTCTTTTACATGTATTTCTATTTATATCCATCTGATGAGTTAAGCCTTTTTCAACTGATTTTTATAGTTCGTTCTTATGTTGTACTGTTACACCACTGTCCCAGGTTAGGGGGAGGGTTGGGACCCCGCTAACATGTTTAACCCTGCCACATTCTGTATGTATGTACCTGTCCCAAGTCAGGAGCCTGTAATTCAGTGGTTGTCATTTGTTGCTGTGTTACATATTTGTTTTTCGTTCATTTTTTTGTACATTAATTAGGCCTTTTAAAGCTGACTTTGCGGTATGGGCTTTGCTCAATGTTGAATGACGTACGGTGACCCATCCGATGGCGATAAGCAGGTTATCTGTAATCACAACTTATAACACCTGTTGTAAATGTTAATTAGCTGAGGGTCATAAACTTGTCAGAAACAATAAGACAGGTAGAATTATAGTATTTTCATGCGAAAATTTATTTATTCTTTCCAAATTTAAGTGACGAAATTGATTTGGAATACTTTCGTCATTTTGAAAACCGTTTCGTAAATGACGAAAATGATGAGCGCTAGCAAAATCACTGTGCGGCTATAGCTGTTAATTTCTGTGTCATTTGGTCTCTTGTGGAGAGTTGTCTCATTGGCAATCATACCACATCTTCTTTTTTATATATAATTTAAAATACTCTTCTAAAAATAAACATTTAATCATCAATTTTTGTAAAATTATTCATCTTCTATTTATCATAAATTCAAATTGAATTTGAAAAAAAAAATGTGTGTCTTATTAACCCCCTCTGTTCAATGTATTCACAACGTGTTTAGACTAGGTGTGATTTAGAGCTTGATACATAGTTTAGACTAGATGTGATTTAGAGCTTGATATATAGTTTAGACTAGTTTAGACACTTGTCAATTGTTTTAGACCACCTCTAGATTTATTTTTCTTTGTATTTTCCATTTTTTATCTTTATAATTTAATAATAATTTATTGTTTTCTAAAAATCAAATGTTTTCCAAATGTTGATAAAATATGAATAATAGCTCCATAAATATTGGTTAAGTTTCTTCTGTATAATGTTATCATAGGTTTTATAAATAGTATATTATTATTAAAGTTTTAGACAAGAATGGTTGAAACTCATTTACAAAAAAATAATTGACAGGTATCTGATGAGTTAAACTTCACTCATTTTTGTTAAGCCTGTGAAATTTATTTCGCAAAAGCAAGACATAGCGATCCTATATTCCGTCAGCGAAGGCTACGGCGTCAACATTTAGGTTCAGTCTGTTGTTAAATTTTTTATGGACATCAATAATTTTGTCAAACCTACATGGAATTAGATGAAATTTGGACAGAAGCTTGTTTATGATCAAACTACAATATCCAGAGCCAAATTTTGAAAATATTTATTTTCATTTTTCCCTATTTTACTGATAGATGGACTTTTATTTTATAGTTAACATTCATATTCAGTCTTAGGTTAAATTTTTTCAGTTATCAATAACTTTGTCAAACCTTCTTGGAATTTTATGAAATTTGGACAGAAGCTTGTTTATGACCAAAATACAGTATCCAGAGCCAAATTTTGAAAATATTTATTTTCATTTTTCCCTATTTTACTGATAAATGGACTTTTTTTTTATAGTTAACATTCATATTCAGTCTTAGGTTAAAGTTTTTCAGTTTTCAATAACTTTGTCAAACCTTCTTGGAATTTTATGAAATTTGGACAGAAGCTTGTTTATGACCAAAATACAGTATCCAGAGCCAAATTTTGAAAATATTTATTTTCATTTTTCCGTATTTTATTGATTTATGGACTTAAGTTTTTTTTACATTTAACAAATAGATACAGTCTGGGGTTAAAGTTTTTTACATATCAAAAACTTTGTCAAACCTTCATAGAATTTTATGAAACTTTTTTATAATTAAGAGATAATGTCTGAAGCACACTTTTGAAAATACATTTTCATTTTGAGTATTTTTCTGATAGATGAACTTTTATTACAGTTAACATTTACTGACAGTTTGGGATTAAATTTTTTTGACATGATAAGTTTGTTAACCTTCATGGATTGTTATGAAACTTGGACAGAAGCTAATCTTCAAGACCAAGAAATAGCATCTAAAGAGAAAGTTTGAATCTTTTTTAACATTCTGTATTTTACTGATAAATGGACTCATTTTTTAAATAAACATTACACTTTTACACTGACAGCAGCAATTGTAGGCGAGACACAGGGTTCAATGGAACCCCTTACAAATTTTTGTATATAATACTATATGTACTTACCAGGAATTGGTTCTTTGGATGTAGCCTCGGCCTCTAACACTTCATGTAACAATAGCTCTAACACGTGAGGGAAATAAGGAAGCTCTGTGCAACATCTGGCAATGTCCAATGCATTTACACCAAGACTGAAATAGAAAGGAAATCTTTACAATGAAAGAACAACAATTTGATTATCAACTTTAACCTAAGAACTAGTAATTCTATAAACATGTAAAGCTTTTTGCAATGAAACACTTAGACATATCAACATATTTCTGAAGAAAAAATGCAATTCTATCTACTTCATTTAGACTTTCCATCCATGCTTTTTCCCACCAATGACCACCAAAGGATTTTCGAAAGCATATGTTGGAAACCTAATGATGTTAAGTTGCCTTATGACTTTTTCACTTTCTCTCATATTCCAAACTGTAAAGTGATAACAGAAAGCCTCCAGCAAGTGGATGTTAAGGTATAAATAAAGATACATGTGGTACGCACCATACTGTCCTTTTTCTCAATTAAGATGACAGAATTTGTAACAATAATTTTGAAAACTAAAAACCTCTAAAACTTACTTTCTTCTTAACAACTGTCTTAAGATGTGGTGTAAATAAATCTGACTCTGAAACACAAATATATCACAGTTAATTTAAAGATTTTGTTTTTAAATATATTATATTTATTATAATTTAGAAAGTGGGGGCTGATCTCAAGTCACATCAAATAATTGACATTAATAACTCTTAAAAAAAAAATTAAAAAAATGGAATTCTTGAATCCGACATCAAAATAATGCTAGGTTTTAATTTAAATTCTTTTACTAAGATACTCCATCCAAAACATCAATAGTGAAAATTATTTGAAAGGACTCCCATTCCTAATTATCAGTAAATTGAAAGAAAATAGCAACATACCTGATCTTTTAATGAGTGCAATATTTTTCCAACAGATCAACATCAGAATGATGGGACAAAGGTATATAATATCATGTACAGCATTTACGGGTATGAAAATTTGGGCAAGAATGTAAACACAGTTATTTCAAAGCTATCAATGCTACTGTCTGTGATTCATGTATACTAAGAAACTAAGACATAAAGGCTTGGGGTAGATTATGGTAATATCTGAATACTTACAGTTCGTTCAATTGTGGAGAAAGGTAAATTATGCATAGCATGTCCTGGTTCTCCAGGTGACTTGTAATTGTATGTCACAGCATCAGTGGCAGCACCAAGTATCACAGCATCTTCAAATAACACAGCTAAAAAAACATGAATACTAGAATTAATTACTAGAGTTAAAAAACACAAATTGTATACTTTACATCAAATAATACTGTGGGTAAAGAAAGTCATTACAACAATATATATATATTGAGAGGTTTTTATTAATGTGAATAATAAGATTGGGTGAGTATCGCAATAATAAGAACTCGCATTCTGATATCTGCAAGCAGATTTTTCTGCATTCGCAATAGTTAATCTCGCATTTTTGTCCATTCCTCAAAAATTGTAATAATAAATGCCTACACTAATTTCTGAATTTACAGTACTTAAAAGTTGAAACTTTTCTTCACTTGTAATAAGATTGATTGGTGTTTGCTTTATGCTGCCTCAGCACAAAAAGGCTATATTGTTTCGACTCTGGTCATATCTTTTATCTTATCCTCACTTTAAAATATTTCTATATCAACAGTACAGACATTTGATTGATTGATTGTTGTTTTTTTAACCTCCAGTGCCAAGTATTTCTTGCATATCTAATTCAGAAAATGGGTTGAATTTTAGATTTTGACAAGAGACTTATATGCATAAAGATGTCTTAAGATGACTTCAGTGTTGGTCTTTCCGAGAATCTTATCATAATCATATTACATGGAAGAAAAAAGACATGTCTTAATAAAGTTTCAGACATGCTACCACATAAACATGATCAAAGATGCATTCATTTTTTTAAAGTTTTGCTGGTCTATAAAGAAATAAGTTCTCAAATCTATATATAGTAGGCTTAGTTTATGATAAAACTATAAACGAAAAACAAATAGGACAGACAGCACCCAACAACAATCACTCAATAACAGGCTCCAGACTTGGGAAAGGCACATACAGAATGTGGCAGGGAAGTCACTTGTTTTGTACAAGATTATATACATTCTATTAGGTACCATGGATTTATTTATTTTCGTGGGTACCAATTTTGGTGGGCAGACAAAGACTTGCATTTATCATGGATATTTGCATTCATAATTTTGCATAATGTCTGCATTCATTCCCATAGAAAATTAGTAATTCATTATACATTTAAATTTGAGGTTCCCCTGTACCCATGAAATCCACTAAAAATTGGTATACAATGAATAATAATCCACAATATCGACACATCTTAAGACAGATGTTAAGAAGAACACACAGTAAGACTTACCTAGGGGGTGTATATCTACTCTGAATGGTAACATAATTCTCTTAGACATGAAGTTATGTGTTTTTGATTCATTTCTTGGGTAAACAGAACATAGAGTAAGACTTACCTAGGGGGTGTATATCTACTCTGAATGGTAGCATAATTCTCTTAGACATGAAGTTATGTGTTTTTGATTCATCTCTTGGGTATAATGGCAACCAAACCTACAATAAAAAAACAGAAAAATAAAACAAAATAAGTACAGTATGCTGACAGACAAAACAATGTAATGTAAAGTGTGACTTCCTTTTTTTTTATTTAGTTACATCAAGACAAAACTATTGCAAGCAAATTCTTATTCCTTTTTTGTTTTAAAATTTAGGAATAGAGTTTTGGGAATTCACAACTTATTTTGATGATCTTTTTATCTACTAACCTTCATTCCTTGTGCACCACAACCTAGCCATAAAGCTTCCATTAACTGAGCCTTTCCTACATTGACTCTAGATGATGTCCACATGTTTTCAACATTTGTGGCAACCATTGCTGGTGGGCAAAATGGCAACTGTTTAAAATAAATAAATCATCCTGATGACAATAAAATTTCTAGTTTTATTTCATTTATTTTTCCATTTATCAAAAACAAGAAGTAAACTTAATTATGAACACTTATCATTGTTAAACCATGGGTCCAATGAATATGTTCATCTTACAAACCTTATTAGTACTTGAACAATCAAAGGATTGAAAAAAAATCTGACACATGATCAGATACTTTTTGAAACGTACAAAATTCAAACAAAATGAGACTGCTAACAATGAAATTAACGATTTTACTATAACAACTGTGTTAACTTACTGGTTTATTTTTTGGTTGGTTGTTTTCTTTGATTTGAGGACCAGTATTATCACGTGGAAACATTAACAATTTACCAGCAACATTTAACAATAAACTTTCAGCTTCTTTGGCAATATGCTGATTCTTAGCACCTGCAAGAGAAAATCTGTTATGATGTACTGCTTCTTATAACACAAAAATCCATTGACTTTAAAGCACTTCATTCATTTTTATAACTGATGTTGGGTGTGATAATGACAAAATTTGCTTTTAAATTGACTGGTGCAACAAGTACTAATTCATCAGGGAAATAAAGTTACAAACTTTCAAATTTAATATGAATATAATTTTGATCATGATTGTTTTTTTTCTTTTTTCGACTTTCCTGTTATCTTCCATCTATAATATCGATCAAAAAGAAAAAGAAAAACCAGTTTCTTCAACATTAAGACTTTTGTTCATCCTTATAAAATGTTTCTCCAATAGATAAACATTCTAACATTGTAATTATCTTTGTATTAAGCTTGATGGAATATTACTTGGTCTTTATATGGTCAGTGACTGTGAGGATGAAGATTTGTCTGGTAAAGAGACAAAGATTTTATAACTATAATCTTATTTTTGTCAAAACATCATTACTCTTTTCTCTCTTCCTTTCTAATAGAAACAACAATTCTAACCTATGGAAATAGACAATATTCAGTAACAAGATTTACCATACTGTTTTGAGGGAAGAAAGTGCCAATCCTGTCACACAGACAGGATGTGGTACATAATTGTTAACAAGATTTACCATACTGTTTTGAGGGAAGAAAGCGCCAATCCTGTGACACAGACAGGATGTGGTACATAATTGTTAACAAGATTTACCATACTGTTTTGAGGGAAGAAAGCGCCAATCCTGTCACACAGACAGGATGTGGTACATAATTGTTAACAAGATTTACCATACTGTTTTGAGGGAAGAAAGCACCAATCCTGTCACACAGACAGGATGTGGTACATAATTGTTAACAAGATTTACCATACTGTTTTGAGGGAGGAAAGCGCCAATCCTGTGACACAGACAGGATGTGGTACATAATTGTTAACAAGACTTACCATACTCTGTTTTGAGGGAAGAAAGTGCCAATCCTGTGACACAGACAGGATGTGGTACATAATTGTTCAGTGAGACTTCCTGTCGTTTGTTGATATCTAATGCCGGATCTACAATTAAAACAAATAACAAAGCATTTTTCTTAACCATTTAAAATTTTAACTATGATTTATCTCTAGATGATCATTTCCAGTTCAGGACAACTTACAAGGATGCAGACAGATCTCGAGTAGAGTATTACTTGTTCCTGATTCTTTAAAGGACAGCAAGTTAGACAGTGTATTGTAATTAATTCATCAGAGAATTCCTCTTCTTAAATGAACAGTTTATCATTTAACTACAGAAAATGTGGCAAATTGTGAAGTCATGAAAAATATAATAAAATCAAAAATATTGACCTACTGACCCATTTCTTTACTTACCAATACACACACACATATCATTTCTAAAATCATTAATGATCAAATCATCAGATAAGCAGATTCCCTGTAACCACAAACTGTAATTGTTGTGAATCTTAAAATTATTGTAGATTCATTCAAATTTTGTTTTACTTTATATATTCATTATAAGAAATTGATCTGAGATAATTTCATTTCAAAATAATCACTTCAATAGTGAAAAGTGCTGACGAAAAACACTGACGCTAATTAATAACATTCTGTTTCTGTTCCGAGAAGTTTGGATAAATAAAAAAACCCATCATTATCAGGTCAGGAAAAAAATTCTAAAAAGGATGAGAGATATGAAGACTTTTAATATAAAGACATACTGTGGATTCATTATTATTCCTTGGATACCAATTTTTGTGGATTTCATGGTTATATGTTAACCACGAAATTAAATGTTCAACGAATGGCAAATTTACTATAGGCTTGTATGCAGACATTGTCAATAAAATGCTCCGCAGGGCGCAGCTTGATACGACCGCAGAGGTCGAACCCTGAACAGTTGGGGCAAGTATGGACACAACATTCAAGCTTGATACAGCTTTGCATTTGGATTGTGATTAAATATTTGACACAGCATAGGTTTCTGACACAGAATGAATGTGGTCTAAGAACTTAAAAATTTTAAATTGGACATTCACCTATTATTGTTCAATATCCTAAATCTAAATACATGGTTAGATTCAGCATATCAAAGAACCCCAAGAATTCAATTTTTGATGAAATCAAACAAAGTTTAATTTTGGACCCTTTTGACCTCAATGTGGACAAAGTTGATAACGGGGCCCAAAAATCAAAAATCTAACTACATGGTTAGATTCAGCATATCAAAGAACCGCATATATTCAATTTTGTTGAAATCAAACAAAGTTTAATTTTGGACCCCGATTTGGACCAACTTGAAAACTGGGCCCATAATCAAAAATCTAAATACATGTTTAGATTCAGCATATCAAAGAACCTGAAGAATTCAATTTTTGTTAAAATCAAACTCAGTTTAATTTTGGACCCTTTGGACCTTAATGTAGACCAATTTGAAAACAGAACCAAAAATTAAGAATCTAAATACACGGTTAGATTGGGCATATCAAAGAACCCCAATAATTCAATTTTTGATGAAATCAAACAAAGTTTAATTTTGGACCCTTTGGACCTCAATGTGGACCAATTTAAAAACGGGGCCCAAAATCCAAAAACTAAATACACGGTTAGATACAGCATATTAAAGAACCCCAAGAATTCAAGAATAAAACCCCATTGAAATTGGTCAAGAAATAAGCAATTTATACGAAGACTCTTCTTTTGCACAATACTGTGCAATTAAATATTTCTTGCTATTGCGCAATATTGTACAATTGACAATTTCTTGCTATTGCGTAATATTGTGCTATTGGATATTTCTTGCTATTGCGCATTACTGTGCAATTGAAGATTTCTTGCTATTGCGCAATACTGTGCAATTGAAGATTTCTTGCTATTGTGCAATACTGTGCAATTGAAAATTTCTTGCTATTGCACAATACTTATTATATAATAATTTACACATCCTGTTTGGTGTGTATCTCCTACCATATCATTATTATTTGCTTTTAAATATAAATCAGAAATAACCAACTTAAAATGGAAAATTTTAAAAGAATAAAAAAAGGAAAAAAAAGAAAAAAAAAAAAAAAAAAAAATCCCTCCCCCAAATTTTTTGAACCCCCTTATGATTCATCACCCCCAAACTCAATCCCAGCCTTCCCTTTGTGGTATGGTACCTTGCAGTACAATTTCAGAGAGATCCATACACTTGAACACAAGTTATTGTCTGGAAACTAAGAAATGCTTATTTTTGGCCCCTTTTTGGCCCCCAATTCCTAAACGTTTCGGCAATTACCCCCAAACTCAATTCCAGCTTTCCCTTTGTGATATGGAACCTTGTAGTACAATTTCAGAAAGATCCATACACTTACACACAAGTTATTGTCATGAAACTAGAAAAATGCTTGTTTTTTGCCCCTTTTTTGGCCCCTAATTCCTTTACTGTTGGTACCAAAATCAATCCCAACCTTCCTTTTGTGGTTTTGAACCTTGTGGTAAAATTTCATAGAGATCCATTCACTTAATCGAAAGTTATAGTGCGAAAACCAATATGTCTTCGGACGACGCTGGACGACGCCGACAACAAAGACGACGACGACGCCAACGTCATACCAATATACGACCACAAAAATTTTTTGGCGGTCGTATAAAAACCACGAAATTAAATATCCACGAACATGTAAGTTTTCCTTAATTCACGAAAATTGGTACCCACGAAAATAAATGAATCCACAGTAAGTATTTTGTTCCAGACATCGTTCTTTTACTTTGCATAGTAATTCAAACAACTTTATAAGTCAATAAAATGCTCCGCAGGGCGCAGCTTGATACGACCGCAGAGGTCGAACCCTGAACAGTTGGGGCAAGTATGGACACAACATTCAAGCTTGATACAGCACTGAATTTGGATTGTAATTAAATATTTGACACAGCATAGGTTTCTGACACAGAATGAAAGTGGTCTAAGAACTTAAAAATTTTCAATTTACCTATTCATACATGTGATGGACTGTGAAACTCAGATCAGGAGATTGGGAAATTTTGGTCAGGAGATTAGGACTCAGATCAGGAGGTTTTTAATCGACATTAATTTTGTTGTAAATGTAACCGTGTGCTGTAAAAATGGTCTTTTAAAGTGTGTTTTCTTCAACTTTCCATCCAATTTATTATGTTTATAGTACCCTTGTACTTATAAAGTTTCTCCATCTTTATATTCTACATGTTCAATCTAACATTGTATTTTTCCAGTATGTTCTTTAAATTTTTTACTTCATATTCTATAAAACAATCATTGCAACCAGAACATTTGTTTAGCTATCTGCAAATAGTTTTTATTTTTTTTTTTCTCTTGCAAATAGTTTTTATTTGCAAACTCAGAAAATCATTTTATCTGTAAATTTAGGGTCATAGTTATTATATAAATTTCAATTTAAGCCTTGAAAGGAAGTCTAGAATCCTCAAATAATTTTCAAATTATTATTTTTTTATTTGTCCTAAGACATTTAAAATCATTTAATAACCATCCTTGTATGATTATTTGTTCAATTTATATTTTATTTATATTCTTTTAAAAATTTTCATTATTAAAAGGAAAGTAACTTAAAACAGGATAAATCAAGGGAAGTAACCCAATAAATACACAGTTTTTGTTACACAACGGCAGTTAGCCTGAGGTAAAAATCGTTGATTACCTGTATGTTTGACACCCAAGCTGACAAGTGAAGCCATATAATTATGCATGTTAATTGATTTACAGGTAAAATATAACTTCAGGTAATGTCAGTTACACCAGATGCCTGAGATGATATGTTGGGCAGAAATTTTTCATTCATGAAAAATTTCATACACGGGATTTTTTCCTCTTCAACGGGAGGTCGGGAGGAGACCCCTGAAAACGGGATTATTGTACTCCCGTCGGGAGGTTCACATGTATGCCTATTCAAACCATATCATTATTATTTGCTTTTATATATAAATCAGAAATAACCAATTTAAAATGGAAAATGTTAAAGAAAAAAAAGGAAAAAAAAATCCCCCCCCCCCCAATTTTTTGAACCCCCTTATGATTCATCACCCCCAAACTCAATCCCAGCTTTCCCTTTGTGGTATGGTACCTTGCAGTACAATTTCAGAGAGATTCATACACTTGAACACAAGTTATTGTCTGGAAACTAGAAAAATGCTTGTTTTTTGGCCCCTTTTTGGCCCCAAATTCCTAAACGTTTAGGGCAATTACCCCCAAACTCAATTCCAGCTTTCCCTTTGTGATATGGAACCTTGCAGTACAATTTCATAAAGATCCATACACTTACACACAAGTTATTGTCCTGAAACTAGAAAAATGCATGTTTTTTTTGCCCTTTTATGGCCCCTAATTACTAAAATTTTGAGGGAAAACCCCCAAAATCAATCCCAGCCTTCCCTTTGTGATATGGAACCTTGTAGTACAATTTCATAAAGATCCATACACTTACAAACAAGTTATTGTCATGAAACTAGAAAAATGCTTGTTTTTTGCCCCTTTTTGGCCCCTAATTCCTAAAATTTGGAGGAAATTACCCCAAAAATCAATCCCAGTATTCCTTTTGTGATATGGAACCTTGTAGTACAATTTCATAAAGATCCATACACTTACAAACAAGATATTGTCATGGTCGTATAAAAATGCTTGTTTTTTGCCCCTTTTTGGCCCCCAATTCCTAAAATTTGGAGGCAATTACCCCCAAAATCAATCCCAGCATTCCCTTTGTGATATGGAACCTTGTGGTACAATGTCAGAGAGATCCATACACTCACACACAAGTTATGTCTGGAAGTTACAAAAATGCTTATTTTTGGCCCCTTTTGGCCCCTAATTCCTTAACTGTTAGTACCATAACCCCCAAAATCAATCCCCACCTTCCTTTTGTGGTATTGAACCTTATGGTAAAATTTCATTGAGATCCATTTACTTAAACTAAAGTTAGAGTGCGAAAACTAATGTGTATTCGGACGACGACGCCGGACGACAACGACGACGACGACGACGACGACGACGACGACGACGACGACGACGACGCCAACGTCATACCAATATACGACCACAAAAATTTTTTTGCGGTCGTATAAAAATTGTCACAAGCAACAGCAAGAAATTACTATAAATAAAACAACTACACTATACTTACTAGATTGAGTATTCTTTCTCTCCAAATTAAATAACATTATATGAGAGTCTATGCAAAAAACAATGAGTATATCCCTGAATATATTTAGTAATAAAATCTGTGACGGCACTTTCACTGACATGGAAAATGTATTATCTAATTTACAACTTCGTGGATAGCACCTTATCTGCAAAATGAAAAAAAAACAATAATTCAATAATTCTTAAACTAACTAAAAACTGTTGGTTGTTTGATCATTTTTTTTATTTGCTGGAATAAAATTATTAATTTAAAAAGTAATTCTGTATGGTAAGGAAACTTGTGTATAATATGTTGTATAATATGTTGAACTCTTTTGTTTTATTGTGCTGTTGAGGTTCTCTGTTATTGATGTTTTGCCCAAATTCATAAATATGGATACAAATATTAAGCATTCAGAAAAGATAAAAGTTTTTTCATAGGACTAAATGACATAATAAAATTCCTTTTATAATTATTGAGGGATTCTTGAAAATAAAAAAAAACAATTACAACTTTCATTGAAATTTTGTGTGTCAACAACCAATATTTGATAACATACTTCATCTCTTTGTCCCACAATGTTGTAACAGGCAACACATATAAAATCTTTCCACCATGACATTCCTCCAGATACTACTAAATCTCTTTCCTGATAATAAAGAGACAATAACCCTAGTTTAATAATGCAACAAGTAATTCTGATATCAAGGTTAATAAACTGTGAACAGAATAGATTGAAGGTCAGAAGGCAACAGTTCCTTAATTAGAACATCATTTCAAATATTGTGATAACAAAAAAATAAATTCTAAGTTAAGAAATGGTGTAAAATAAATGGAGAATGCGTCTATGGGCCACAGATGCCCCCGATTGTAAATATGCATGAGTCAACTTCCACATACAGGTGCAGGATTCATGTAGTTAAGACTGATTTGTGATTATAAGCATTGTGTATAAGTTTCATAACATTTGGTTGAGGCAAACTAAAGTTAGAGCATGGAAACGACAGATTTAGCCATTTTTCCTGTTATAAAGGGGCATAACTCAAGAACGGTAAAAGTGACGCAACCCAACTTGATCTGTGTTTTGTGGTAATAAGCATTGTGTATTAGTTTTACAATATTTGGTTGAGGCAAACTAAAGTTAGAGAATGGAAACCAATTTTGGGGAAAAACACGATGGACAGACGGGACGGACGGACAAGCGGCAGGGGCATAAAAATGACTAGACATTTGATTTATTACAAGAACTGTATGGTGTTTGCAATCAAATTCCAATGTGTTAATGTGCACAATCATGGTGCCCTAATGATGAACATGTAAAACATAACTTCCACTGGCATGCACATACCTGTGTTTCATTACCAAATAACTTCCATTTCCTATTAGAACAAGTATAATGTGCCAGCCCAGTCTTCCCTGCTACGGCCACACACTGACCAGTTTTATCTACAGCTGCATACTAAAATATCAAAGAAAAAAATGAAACTTCTTGCACTTCAAAGAAGTTGTCTACTTACATTTCACATATTGTGGCACAACATCAATACAAATTGACACATTCCTTTTTTCCATTCTCAATTTTAAAGAAATTTAAAAGTTCATCTATGTATAGCAACAGTAATCAAAGTAGACGAGGAGCCATTAATCATTATTTGCAAGTAACTATGAAATGATAAATTATGCCAAATTTGATTGTTATAAGCTGCACTAGCTGCAAATAAAGTGATCAGGATTCGTGTTTAACAACTACGTTCTATTTACAGTTATATGTATTTGCCCCAGTTGTTTCCCAGATCCAGATTTTCAAAAAGTTAATGCATAGAAGTCATGTAATGTAAATAGCTCACTAGCATTCTGGGCCAGGTGAAATAACCTAGCTGTGTTAGTACTCGACTAAGCCACAAACATGAATAAATTCACTCAGCTTGTTCTAACATAACATAGAACTTGAGTTTATTGTTAAAACCTGAATACCATATACTTTTATACAAAATTTTGATATATAAGTGCATTATCTTAACATCTAACGCATAAACAACAACCTACCCTAATAGGCCAATTTGAGGCAAGATAGCTGTGTGATATAGGAATCATCTGCCAGAGTTTGTTGCCAACTGACACATGAGATTCTAAATGACTAGGCTTCTGAGAGCTATCTCCCATATTTAAATAAATCTTATCTTCTCCTTGTAAAAACACATGTTCATGGTTTGCCTGCAAATACACAAAACTTAATGATTTAAATACAAATTTTAAAAACATAAACAAAAGATGTACCAAAGAGTAGTTTAAACACCTATGACATGGCTTTATGTTGTAAAAGATTCACCATATTATATGTTAAAAATAGATATGGTAAGTAAAGATAATATTTTTTCTTTACATCCTATATTCATTCAAAACAACTTGTGACATATCACTTCAGGAAGGGATTTTGATGAAAACTATTTAGTATGCAGCAACATTTAAGTTTAGAAATTTAGGAATAGTGTATATAATCATTCAAAAAGATGCACCAAAACTGCAACATTATACTTATAATTGTTTTGAGCACCAAGGGTCCAGAAATATTTCACATGACGTCAGTTATTTCAAAGGTCTGGTATCAAGTGTAGACAAGAGTTCTAACTATCTATTATTTTAAGTAAAAACTGTATCATTGTTTAAATCAAACTTGCATTTCGAATTTGGTGTTATTATATTGACCAATAATAGTGCATTCCTAAATAAAAACACCTCTGCTCTAAGAGAATTTTTTTTATAGTAGTTGTCCACGTCAGTTTATGCATGATTACTATTTTTTAAACATAGTGTTATCCTAAGATTTTTGCAAATACAATAAAAAAATACTTTTGTATTTTCAATGTTTATCTATAACTATAGCCAGTCCCTGCAATCATATATTATGTCCAGAAATTATATATCCTTTAGGTATATGTTCAGAAATTATATACCCTTAGGTATCTAAAATTTAAATCATGCCTCAATAAAAAGATGAAGTATAAAGATGCATCATAAATTAGTTTGTAAACATGATTACTTCGGGATTTTTGGTGGTGACAACATCTACATTTACGTTAATATCACAAGAGCCCACAAAATAAGAAAATTCATTATATGAAACGTTATCTTCTATCTAAGTGGATAAATATTTATGAATTGACAAATTAAAGAAACAAAACATTATTTTTTACTTTTAATTTTTTTTATTACAGAAGTTTTCATGAAAACCTAGTTTTCCAGTAATTGCAACATTGCATTAGTACTATTTTCTCAATATCGAGTCTACCTAAAAATTGGGATGACAATGAAAATGTATCTCTTAGTTTGGCCATACTACATGATCTGTAGATACTTGCTTTTTTCAAGCCTCATTAATTATAACTTACTGAACAAGGATTGACAGTGAGAGCACTTTTGACAAAATGAAGCTGCATGGCATGTGAACACTGTGTATTATCATTGTAATCAGTTTGATGAGCCTCTTTCTGGTCACCACAAACCATCCATAACTGATAACCTTCTAGACCCCACTCCTGTAAAGTGGACAATATTCATTTACTTTATTTAAAAAAACAATTGAGTAAATTATATCATAATACAGAAAAATTCAAATAGATTTAGTTTAACTAGGAAATACTGCCAAGATCCTAAGTATTTCTTCAAGGACAAACTGACCTTTCAATTCTAAAGGCAAGTTAGCTATTTTCTAGGCTGTTGTACTAACCAAGATGGCCACATCAAATTGTGATTTGGGCCTTTTATCATATTTTCATGTCATCATAACTACATTTTAAAATTTGAAATTGAAGACAAATATTATAAATGTCAGTCAACATGAATTGTATATGACTTAAAACTTACCATAGCTTTGACTGGAGGTGGAAATAAATGCACACTGTCAAAGGGAAAACTGTAAAGGAAACACATACTTATATCATACAAATCACAAAAGATGTCACTTGTCATTCAAAAATAATATTTACTTACAGTATCTCTTTAACAGATAACAGATATTCAAATATTCCCTCTTTTCCTACACCAAAATAGAAAAATGTGCTCTTTACAAAGAAGTTAATTTTGGAAACCTTGATAATGAAACAGAAATTGTCAACATTAAAACATTAATGGGGGATAAACTGTGGGGCAACATTTGAAGGTTAATTATTAGTTGTCAGCACAAACTGACAACGTCACAGCTATTATTACAATAACAATCATAAATTTGGGACAAGTGTAGTTTGACTCTGAGTTCTATGAATCTTCAATTCTTTTTTAATGAAAATTTTACATGAGTGGTAATTGATTTTGTGTCCTATCTTTGTCTTATTGTTTTAAAAAGTTAAACAGAACTCTGACAAATTTTACAATAATTTTTATCTATTATTCCAAAAGTTGCCCATAAGGTTTCTGTAATAAATATGTATAGTGCAAGCCATCCTATACGGAGGGAAGTATATTTAATGATCAGAACAGCCATTGAATTGTCACCAACAGATAATTTTTTTTTTTTTTTTTGGTGTTTTAACACCACTTTTAAGCACCGCTTTTGGGCTATTTCATGGCAGCCAACAGATAACTCATTGTAATACAAATAAAAGATCACTATAGATGAACTACTTAAACACATGACCATCAGGTCAATTTATTTTGAAGAGTTATAGAACTCAAACAGGCCATAGGAAAATTTATGAAGTTCTTGCTAAAATAATACAAATTGCTAAGAATGTTTTTCTACAATGCCCTTTGCATGCATGCAGTTTGCTTAACCAAAAACCTTCAAAGGATTGAGTGTAGTTTAAACTCTTCAATAAAAGTTGAAGAAAATATGTTCAAAGTCTATTTCAAATTATGTCAGAACACATACCTATATTCACCAGCTAAAGAACACACTAATAATGAACCAAATACACTCCATAAGGAATAACCACCATTTTTCCAACATAAAGCTAAAGCAGTGCCATCTGGTGTCCATTTCATGCAATGAACAGAACCAGCTGTTTGAGCTGCATCTACAATATAAATCAACAAAATAAAAGTACATCTTAAGTTAAATTATATTAAAATTTTGTAATTGGACAATGTTTTAATCATAAATAGCTAACAAAAAGTTCCCTTGTGAAATATTTTTTCTAAAGCCACATTGGTTTTTTTTTACAGTTTACAACAAAGAATCAAGGAGCATGTGCCAAATAAGTGAGATGATAGAGTGAAATTTATATTTATTTTTTTTATATTTTCAACGCATTTGTTAATATAACTTTTTCATATCAGCTGTTAAATGATTTTAGTGTATCAAAATTTTTCTGTCAGACAGAACATCTTCCTTCAATGTTTTTACCCTTTCTTTCAATATGGATTTTCCCTCGCACTTGCACTATGCAGTTGTCTAATTTCTAACAAGAGGTGTCATGGTTAAAGTCACTGCATACAGAAAAGCTGTCAGCGAATTAGAGTACAGGAAAACAATAATTCAACAGCAGTTTTCTAAAGATTTGGTTAAAATAAAATGATTTTCTTTTAACAGAAAGTATATGTACACGTTTTATATTAAGACTAAACCATCCAAGTATACAAAAAATATTCAACTTTTTTGTTAAATTTGAAGGATCATATGAATTTAACCATAGTAAATCTCTCTTTGAATGTATTTTCAGAAATTTTGATATTTCAGGAAGACATTTAGTCTGTCTTGAAGTTAAAGAGAGAAATGAGAAATAAAGCCAACTTCAATATTGATTAAAATATGTTTTTCTTCAATTCAGAATTTTCATAAATTGTTCTATAATATATTATTCTGATTGACTGAATAAATTCAAGAGAAAAAGCGGCATGTAAGATGTAAACAACACAACTATATTTGATGGCAACAGTTTCAATGGCCATATAAGTTAGATCTAATAAGCATTAAAAACTACAATAATTCAAACTATAAAACCCTTTCAATTATTACAGTAATAGTAGCATTTTACAAATAATCTGCAGCAAACAGCTGTGGTACATTATAAATCAGTTATTGTGTAAACAATTTGCAAAGTTGAAAGAAAAGAAAATTTTGACATCTGCTTGGTAATCAATAATAGGTAATTGTTTAAAAAACATATGTCACAAAATATATATTGACATCAAAGTCTAAGCTTTAAAAATGTCAATTCTGTACAGCATCAAATCCTTAAAAAAAAAAATTTGCTAATTGATTGAAAAATCTAAGATTGATGATAATAAATTTTTTTTAATACCTAATGAATACTATGTACTACTATATTTTTAGTTGAGTATATGTATATAATTGTCTGACAATAGTTTACCCTCGACCTCATTTATCACAAACACAACTCACGACTTACCAGGATAGTCTTTACTTGACACAGCTAAATTATATGACACTTCTAATGTACCCTTGACCTCATTTATCACATACACAACTCAAACTTACCAGGGTAGTCTTTACTTGACACAGCTAAATTGTATGACACTTCTAATGTACCCTTGACCTCATTTATCACATACACAATTCAGACTTACCAGGATAGTCTTTACTTGACACAGCTAAATTGTATGACACTTCTAATGTACCCTCGACCTCATTTATCACATACACAATTCAGACATACCAGGATAGTCTTTACTTGACACAGCTAAATTGTATGACACTTCTAATGTACCCTCAACCTCATTTATCACATACACAATTCAGACTTACCAGGATAGTCTTTACTTGACACAGCTAAATTATATGACACTTCTAATGTACCCTCGACCTCATTTATCACATACACAACTCCTGCACCACTGGAAATAATAATTTCATAAATAAAATATCAAAATACAGCAAAGAATAGACCCTGAAATTTATTTTTTCAAAATCTGCTTAAATTGCAATATGTTTTTAATCATTTTTGATTCTGTAAATTCATATCTATTTCCAATGTTTTAGATGACAAATATATTTCTGAATGATAAATGTGATAAAATAATGATGCTATCAATTTCATGTTATTATTCAGCAATTATACAAAATGTTGTGTAAAAGAACTTTTACACAAAACAATAAATTACTGCTTTACTTAATGTACAAATTTTATTTTTGTTGTTGATTTATTACAGTATACAGGTACAGGCATGCAAGATGTCAAATCACATCATTTCTCAAAACAAAGCATGGAACTAACTCTTGTTGTAGTATGAAACTTGGTCAGGAGTTGCATCTTTTTAGTATCTATAGCCAACTACAATTTCACCTTATATTCTATTCATATTTTGGTTCCAATTTATCACTTGCTGTAATCCAATATTTCTGTTTTTGTAATAACAAATCATATTTGCAAGTAAAAATATGAAAGGTCAATATCATGATGATTTAACAGGAATTAATCAGCAATTTGTGATAAGTCTCCTCAAAAGTCACAAAAACTGATATCAAAGGAAATAGCTCCATAGTATTTGTAGACAAAATATACAGATTTACAGGCTCAGTGTTGTTCACTTTTTCACCTATTGCAATTAAATGCCATAAGCTTTTACTCTGTAACTTAATCTATTGTAACCTTACAATGTATATAATCAAATGTCATAAGTCTGTATCTAGTACATATTACCTTTTACAACCAAATGCCATAAGTCTGTATCTATGGTTAACAGCCAGACATACTGCATCTTTAAGATCCTTTACCCATACACCTTGAGCAACCTATCAAAATATAATTCATACATATTTAGCATTCATATATATATCTAAGAAAATTCAAAACTAAAATACAACAAGCATTCTGTGAGTATTGCATGGCAATGCATAGTCCCCTACCGGTTACAAATTCATTGTCACGGAATGAAATTCTAACTTCATCTATAACTTGTCATGGTGTAAACTACATAAAAATATCAAGTCAAAATCTTCAAGCATGACGAAAAAAACTGTTGAAAACTGATTATTTAAGTGAATTTTCTATGTCCAAAGACCATAACTCTGCACAAAATTATCAGACTGGAACAAAATTCCAACTTGATCTGTAACTTGTCATGATAAAACTATATACTAATTATCAAATCAATATCTTCAAGAATGACAAACAAACCTACCACTAAATTCTTCAAACAATTTACCAAAGAAAAGGAAAAAAATCCAAAATATCATTTTGTCTTTTAAATCTTTTAAAAAATGAGTTATTTCCCTTTGAACAGAACTCTACTAATTAATAAGTATTTCATAAAAAATTTAATTCTAGGGAAAGGGCTTTAACTGAACAAAGAGAAAAGCTAAAATCGTGAAAATTTAACTTGACCTGTAACTTGTCATGATAAATCAATAAACCAAATATCAAATCAATATCTTCAAGCACGAAGAAAAAAAGTCTGGAAAACTGATTTGCTGGACTGACAGATGGACAGACAGACAGACGGACAGAGTGCAAACCTAAAGTCCCCTTCGACTTCGTCGGTAGGGGACTAATTATGACAGAAATAAAATTTCAACTATACATTGCTAGACAAACTAAAGGTAATATCAGTGAACTTACAAGATGAACCCAAAACACAAAGCTTTGCTCAAAATAATAGCTATGTGTACATTTTTATATTTATGTAAATATTCCTTTAAATCTATCTAACAACTGAGAAGAAAGTGCATTTACAAGAACAATATCATATGATGAATGAAATATCTGTAGCTTCAAAATTTACCCTCAAAGATGTTGGACCATTATTAATTTGCTTTATGAAAAGCTTTAAATGGTTGAAGTTGATTGAAATTTTCCAGACAAGATGGTTTCTTCATACATCCAAAAAATTTGTGTGGGGATTTACAGTAAGCTAAATGAGAAGTGGCATGTCTATGTCATGCAAAGTATATCCCAATTATTATTGTACACTGACATTCCTTGCTCATTTGTTAAAAAAAAAATTAAAAATATTGTAAAACAGGAAGTGACTGCCTGACAGATCTATAAATCCCTTACACAGTACAATGCAATGTTATAAAGTTAAGGATCAATATTAAATCATTCCTCATAGAGAAGCTAATTAATATGTAATGAAAGTAAAGGAGAAAAAATTGAACATAAATACAGAAGGACGGGCAGACAAACACAATATATCCTCCACTCTGTTAGGGTGTAATATATGTGGAATAAATTTACCTGGAGACTCCTGTGATGCTTGAAAATAAAACTACCTAATCATGAAAATTAAAAAAAAAAAAAAAAATAAGATAAAAACTTACACCATTGTCTGCTTTGGTAGAAGGTGGTATTACAAACATGGCCCTTCCGGAGGAAAGAACCATTACATAGCCTCCAATGATAGGGCTATATTCCATATGTACAACATAACCATCGGATTCTGTAAGTTTGGCAGCTAAAAAAAATATGTCAAAGCTATAATAACATAAAATGAAATTGTATTTTTGTTCTATTACTTATCACATAAAATTCATAATGTTAATGTAATATGTTACTATTTTAAAATGTTTTGGAAACGATCCATTAAATATCTTTGTCTTTGATAAAAAAATTGAATGTCATGCCAAGTATATTCCTGAAAATAGTTTTTGCAGTTACTACCATCTCACCTTTTGTGTTTTGGAAATCCATAGAGACAGGAAAATCTCTGATGAACAATGAATTCTTTTCACTCTTAGTTCCATTCCATTTGATTCTATTTAAATGCCCATCTGATGTAGCAATGACTAGATCTTCTCGAACACACAAACAACTAGAAAATATGTTACTGAACTTGTAAAATACTATAAAAAAATACAATTAGGTCATGGTCATTCAAAATTTTGTATGGTTACCTCCTTTGTCCAGAAAACATAAACATGGTCATACCTTTTTACAATTGAGATTAGTTCCATCTTTCCTATGGTTACCTCCTTTGTACAGAAATCATAAACATGGTCATACCTTTTTACAATTGAGATTAGTTCCATCTTTCCTAATTTGCAGCATAGATAAATGTAAAGCATTTTTTTCTAGGTAACTTTCAACAAATTTTCCAATACAAAAACACATTTTAGCAATTGTATGCATTCACTCTAAAACTTAAGGATATCATTGTTATCTATGAATCTTTGTAGTACAGTAATCAGTTCATATTTTTGTCTTTTGGGTGTGAGTGTCATCATAACTTTGGTTGAGGAAACATTGAACCATTTTCCTATTAGTACTATTATTGACATCAGTAATTTCAGGAAGCAGATTAACATTGTTTTTTCTCATGTTGGTTTTAAAATGATAGCCTCTAAATTCAATCCTTGACATAATTCTGAACAAGAAGTCAAATTTGTTAAAATACAGGTGCATTAGGCAAACTGAGCTAAAGAAACAACATATGCTTATATGTTACAGTACCCTTACCAAGTAATACTGGCCTCTAAATTGAGCTGAGCACATGGTCCAATCTTTATTGCTGGAACACTGTCACTATCAGGTATTCCATTTAAATCTTTCTTTGTATTATAAAGTCTAAAAATGCAAAACATCTCAATGATCTGTTTATCTACATAAAATTCACTTTTAAGTCTTATCTGAGAAAATTACTTAGGTTCAGTATTATTCTATAGCATATATTTACAATAATAGGAATACTCGCACTTAAAATCATGAAATGGTGTTTTCTGTCATTGTCTTTTAAAGTTAAGTGTGATTAAAGCTTTAGATTTTCTGAAAGAGGTGTGTACATGTATGGTGGTTTTAATATCAAATAAATATTAAATCTGATAATTTGACTTTATTTTTACCAAATCCAACAATTATAAATAATTTAGAAGACAAAATCATAAAAATACATTACTATTTTGATTAAATCAAATACAAAATAAAACTTAGACTTTCCATTGCTTTCCTTTCATCAACATGATCAATGGCTGAAGTTTATATTTACTGATATTTTTTTAGCATAAATATACTTTAATTACAGTCAAAAGCAAGTAAGACAAAAACAAGAAGCTCAATCATGTCTAAAGATCTTATTTAAACAAACAGATTTATTTTCTTTCTTTCTCATGCATTCATGTTCTGTATAAATAATGCTTCACAAGAAAAGAAAACCAAGTATAAACTACAGCATTTTTTCGTATAGTAAACAAGTCATAATCTTCTTATTATGAAATCAATTAGACGACATGATTTGCAAAATAATACATGTAATGATCCTTTGAAACAAACAGGTGTCTATTGATTTTGCCACCGGTGACTGATGTACCTATACCTGATCAAAACAGCATTAACTACAATGACTCTAGCAAAGCAACAACATCTTCATTACACAGTACGTGTAAATTCTTATATCAGTGCACCAAATTTTACCTGATTCTAATTTTGTTTTTCCTCAGTCTAAAATTAAGAATTGAAATTAGGATACAGATGAAAAATTTTCTCCAACAATATAATGATATAATTTTCATTCTCTAACGATAAAAATGATGATCAGTAAATAAATCTTTTCAACATAGGATTACAGAAATTATTGATTGAACTGTTACCTATTTTAAGCTGGATAGTTTATGTAGACATATATATGACATTGAAGTACATGATTTCTAAAACACAAACTTCCTGAAAAACTTAGATGTGATTAAACTTAAGCTCAGTCAATTAACCATAAATGTAAACTTTTGTGACCAAATTTTAATAGCAGCCACATCCTCTAAAGATGCACACCATTAATTTTTAATGCAAAACAAGACAAGTTAAAGTTAGTGAATAAATAGACAGAGTGTACTGCAACAGCACTATTCTGCACTATAGATACTAACAAATAAAATTGAAAGTCAAGTGATACTCATAACACAATAGGAATTTTACTGGCAATGAACTAGGCATAATTGTTTCATTTATAGCTATGACAATTCAGTTCCAATGAAATGTTGGGAATCTGTATACTTACTTTCCCTCCTGCTGTACGTATAGACAGTGATGATTTGGTACAGATATATCTAAATCTACTTACTTTCCCTCCTGCTGTACATATAGACAGTGATAATTTGGTACATATATATCTAAATCTACTTACTTTCCCTCCTGCTGTACATAAAGACAGTGATGATTTGGTACAGATATATCTAAATCTACTTACTTTCTCTCCTGCTGTATGTATAGACAGTGATGATTTGGTACAGATATATCTAAATCTACTTACTTTCACTCCTGCTGTACGTATAGACAGTGATGATTTGGTACAGATATATCTAAATCTACTTACTTTCACTCCTGCTGTACGTATAGACAGTGATGATTTGGTACAGATATATCTAAATTTACTTACTTTCACTCCTGCTGTACATATAGAAAGTGATGATTTGGTACAGATATATCTAAATCTACTTACTTTCCCTCCTGCTGTACCTAAAGACAGTGATGATTTGGTACAGATATATCTAAATCTACTTACTTTCTCTCCTGCTGTACGTATAGACAGTGATGATTTGGTACAGATATATCTAAATCTACTTACTTTCCCTCCTGCTGTACGTATAGACAGTGATGATTTGGTACAGATATATCTAAATCTACTTACTTTCTCTCCTGCTGTACGTAAAGACAGTGATGATTTGGTACAGATATATCTAAATCTACTTACTTTCTCTCCTGCTGTACGTAAAGACAGTGATGATTTGGTACAGATATATCTAAATCTACTTACTTTCCCTCCTGCTGTACATATAGACAGTGATGATTTGGTACAGATATATCTAAATCTACTTTGAAGAATATCACATGGTGTTTACTTGTCTGCAAAGAGAGAGCAAAAATACATGTCTATGAGGCATAATGCATCATACATCCCAAAATAAATATTTGTGCTAAAAACCTAATGAGCATTTGACACAAAGACAATCAAAAACCTTAATCTATGAAACAGGCATCAATTTAAGGCTTGTTCCTAGGATAGAAAAAATTGTTAATCTATTATACTGCCATTTTTTTTAAACAAAAGAAAACTTTAATTTAGATTAACTTTATTCAAATACTACATTCCTGCTTACCATGACAGCTATCATAGACGAGTCAGGTTTCCATTCTGCTAATGTGTATGCCCCAAATTTGTCTAAATCTCTCTGTGACTGTGTGTAATTTACTATCTGAACTGGTGGCTGAAATGTAAAATACATCTGTATGTAACATTAGAAAATGTTCTATTATAATGTTGTGGTTAATTTGTTACTTGATGTCCAGTCAGCAACATAACAACAATGTCCTGCCAAAATATTCTGATGAAACAAAAATGTTCCAACAAAATTCACTTATTTCTGCAAGGTTTCCGTTTTAAACCATTTCTGTGACACCAAATAGTTAGCTTAATATGTTCAATTAATGTGGTATAATTGCCAATGAGACAACTATTTGAGTTGAAATGCAGCAGATTATAAAAGCTACCATAGGGGTCTGACATGACAAAACGCTATACAAGTAAAACAAAAAAATCAACAGCCTCATTTATGATAAAACAATAAAGAAAAACAAATATGACAGACAGCAAGCAATAACAACCAATGTAATCACCTTCAACAATGAGGAATTAATTTAGATTTTATCAATTTTATCTTGTATCATTGGGGTTGAAGTATTCTTTAATCGTGACTGTTTGACATGTTGCTAAAATCTCTCGGCTATCAAATGAGTGAGATTAAATTTAGATAATTTTATGAAAATGCTCAATGTTGGCCTGTGAAGATTTCATTTTATATTTTAAAATAAAAGAATAATTTGTCTGAGGACACCAATGCCCCCGCTCAAGCTTTGCAATTTTCCAAGTAAAAAAGGGGTATAACTCTGGAATGGTAAATGACTCACTGCCCAAATTTGAACTCTGTTTTGGCATTGTGGTTCTTAGCATTGTGTAAACAAGGGATCCTAAATTTTCGATGAGACAAACTAAAGCAAGAGGATGGAAACGAAAAAAATTACCAATTTTCTAAGTTATAAAGGGCATAACTCTAGAACAGCAAGTGACTCAATGCACTGTGTATGAGTTTCATAAAATTAGGATGAAGAAAACTTAAGTTCTTTTCTTTTATCAAAAATGTATGGTCAATCTCACACACAATTACAGTTACTTTTGTTTACATGGTTACTTCAAACAGTAGAAAACAAGTCAATCTAATTTCCAGGTTAGCTAATAATTCAAGCAAATACAAGTTACAGTCTAGGTATTTTGAACATTTTCTGTGAGTACAATATAAGACTTGACTTCATTAAAAGCATGAACAAAGATTGTTTAGTAATCAATTCCTAAGAATTAGTCTTGAAATTTAGTTGAACCAGGACATCATTTTAGTTTTATATACATATTTCAAGTAAGTAATAATAAACATAAAAAACAATGTAGTTGTACCAGTATGATCATTTCCAAAAGTAATATCTACTTCTCACTTTCAACCTCAAATTGTGGTTTTAAATTTTTTACATTTATATATTTCAAAAGTACAGGTTTTTATCCATTTTCAACATAAAAACAAATGTTTTGTATAATGAAGTATGACAAATGTAACTCCATCTGTCAAAAACCTATGTAAAGACATCAATCATCTACAAAGGGTTAAATGTGGCAATAAATACTGCTCAACATATAGCTATATAGTATGTTTATATGAAATGAACATAAGGCTATACTAAAATAAGACAGAGACAATATCAAAATAAACATATTCCAATCAAAACTTATCCATGTAAACCAGAATTAGTACCCCAAAAAGGTCAACAGATCTGATCCTGACAATAATTTAATCATATAGTAATTTGATTTCTTCTCTAATACAATTGTGAACATAACAACTTACATATTTTTGTTCCAATTTGTTCTGATTGCATTATTTATATTTATACATTCACCAGCAATAACCCTACTTGAGGAGCAGGCATGGTCATTGGTCTTATATTAGAGAAAAACCATTGTATATTTGTAGGACTCAAATCTATGGCGGGTTCCAAATATATGGCAGATTCCTAATCTATGGCAAATGTGACATTACAAACGTCAAACAAATCAAATCTATGGCAGATTTTTGTTTTCTCCAAATCTATGGCAGATCTTTAAATTGTGTAATTTTCGGGGGAAAAAAGTAACATAAAATGTCACAATTGAATAACGCCATATTAAATCGTCGCCGACGCTAACGATGGTGGAACCTATAGATTAGAGCACCATTCCAGATGAAGGTATTTCCCTCGACGACAATTTGCAGATGGTTTAAAAGAAGATTTGACCTATTCTCCGGATGAAGGACAAAATATGCTGTACATGCCGAAGCATGGATGAATAAGGGTACCGCTGTTTTCAGTACCGGATATTTTAGAACAGGAGTTATAGTAAATATTTTACTGTCTACAGCTGGCAAAGTTTATAAAGTGAAAGATGAAATTACCGGATTCCAATTTGATTTAAATCGTCATTAAATAAAAAAGATGTATTTACGATGAAAACAAATTTATGTGAAAATTCAAACTGTTCATTTGTATTTATTTCTTTAATATAAAAAACTGCCTTCTTGTTTGTTAAGAGATTTACTAGTTGGTTTAATGAATGGGTTAAACAGGTACCATTCACAGATTAGAAAATGTTTATTTCAATCTTGAAGTCTGTACTAAGGTATATGAATTCATCATTTACGAAATTTGTTGGTTGCCATCACGATTTGGTTGACCATTATGGAATGTTTATAGACATGCTCCCGTACATTTCCACTTGTTTAAGACAAGTCATTGGTCATATGTACTGCATTGTTTTCCATTTGCACCAAATTTGCCATAGATTTGGAAACAACAAAAATCCCCCATATATTAGGAAATTACAAAACTTGCCATAGATTAGGATTATAAAAAATCTGCCATAGATTTGGGATGACATGACGTCACATTTGCCATAGATTAGGAATCTGCCATAGATTCGGAACCCGCCAGAGATTTGAGTCCTACATATTTAAGAAAAGAACACATTTAATATGTATATAACTCAAATAGCCAGCATCCCAACAAAACATAAACAAGGGTGCACACACTGAAATGTCTCGCCTAATGTACTGATCGTGATTGAACTTTTGTTGAAAGTCTTAAACAAAAAGATTTTACCACAAGTATATCATGAAATAAATATCGACCAATGAACCATGAAAATGAGATCAAGGTCAGATGACCTCTGTCAAATAGACATATACACCTTGCAGTCATTCCATATACAAAAAAAAGTTAATCTATTGCTCGTAAAATCTGAGAAACGGAATGGACCTTAACATTGACAATTGAACCACAAATATAAGGTCAAGGTCAGATGAACCCTGCCAGACAGACCTGACCACATAACAATCATTCCCTACACCAAATATGCTTACAGCATCTGTGAAATGGACTAAAACACACAAAAAAATAACATTGATCAATGAACCATAAAAAAGAGGATAAGGTCAGAGGAACCCTGCCAGACAGACTTGACCACCTTGCAATCATTCCATATACCAAATATAGTTCACATATTGCTTATAGTATCTGTGAAATGGACTAAAACACTAAAACTTAACTGTGACCAATGAACCATGAAATTGAGGTCAAGATCAGATGAACCCTGCCAGACAGACCTGACCACTTTACAATCATTCCATACACCAAATGAGGTCAAGAACAATAGACATATGATAGACAGAAACTTTGTAACATAAGACATCTGTATACAAGGTTTGAAGTATCTATGTCTTCTACCATATGAAATATAAAGCTTTATGCAAATAGTTTATGACATTGCTGATGTTAGCATCCCTACTCCTCCCATTCTGTGACTGTCATCGCAGACAAGACAATAATCAAAATAAACATCACCAGGTTAATAGTTATAAACACCTTACAAGTACATGTATCTGTCTCATTTGTTATGCTCTAAATCATCTAAAGTCTAAACAGGTTGTGAATAAATTTAAAAGAGACTACATGTACCTAAGATCAGTTATCACCACTAAAATCTGTTAGATTAAAGGTTTTTTCTGGTATGATAATTGTACAGAAACAAAATATTCATCTGCTGCAAGTAGACAAAAACTTCCCTGAAAACAGAATCGATCTTATCTGTATCATTTAACACGTAAAATCCAAACAAAATACTAGAGAATTACCCAGTATGCTCTACTTAAATATGGTAAGAAGCTACTAACAGGACTTACATATAAATGCACGAGTGCACACGCTGAAATGTCTCGCCTTCTTTACTAACCATTGATTTTACGTTAATAGTCCTAAATATAAAGCTTTACTACAAGTAACACATAAACTTAACATGATCCAAGAAAATGAGGTCAAGGTAAGATAAACCAAAAGAGAAATACATGTACACCTTACAATCATTCAATAAACCAAACATAGTTGACCTATTGCTTATAGTTTCTAAGAAACAGTCTTAACCAAGAAAACTTAACATTGAGCAATGAACCATGAAAATGAGGTCAAGGTCAGATGAACCATGCCAGATAGACATGTACACCTTACAATCAATTTATGCATTAAATTTAGTTGACCTATTGCTTATAGTACATGTAGTATCTACGAAACAAACTTAACCATGAAAACTTAACATTAACCAATGAACCATGAAAATGAGGTCAAGGTCAGATGATACCTGTCAGACAGACATATACACCTTATAATCCTTCCATACAACAAATATAGTTGATCTATTGCATATAGTATTAGAGAAAAAAAGACCAAAACTCAAAAACTTAACACTGAGAAATGAACCGTGAAAATGAGGTCAAGGTAAAATAAAACCTGCGAGACTGACATGTACATCATAAAATATTTCCATACACCAAATATATTGATCTATTGCATATAGTATTAGAAAAAAAGACCAAAACTCAAAAACTTAACTTTGACCACTGAACCATGAAAATGAGGTCACGGTCAGATGACACCTACATGTTGGACATGTACACCTTACAATCATTCCATACCAAATATCACTATCTCTATGTCAAGCTTTAGGCATGACAAAATTGCAGGTACCAACTAACTGTAATTAATTTTAGTTTAATGTAATAAGCTTTTGTTTTCTTTTTTGAATTGTTTCACATTTTATTATCCAGGGGCCTTTTGTAGTTTAGGGAAATATAAA